GGCCTGTCCTCAGGGTTCTGACAGGGTACAGCCACTAAGAACACCTGTGCATTCACTTTTAAAAGGGGCCTGCCCACCTCCCACCCTCCTCTCTTTCTTCCTCTTCCTCTCCTTCCCTTTCCCTGCCCCTTCCCTTTGTCTCTCTTTCCATTCTCCTGCTGCTCCTGACCCTGGAGGCCAGTCTCCCCTCTCCCCTTTTCCCTATCCCTTTCCCCAAATTAAAAACAAAACAAACAAAACAAAACAAAAAAGCCTCCACTTTCTCTGTCGCAGGGCATCTTTCTCTCTACCACCACTTTTCTTATTACAACATTTATGAGATTATACTATTGTTACGAGTAGTTTCCCGCTAGCCTGGTCCCACAGCCGCATCAACCCCAAATAACACACAGAGATGCTGTATTAGATATAAAGCTGTTGGCCTGTTACTAGCATTTCTTATTGGTTAGCTTTGTCTTAATATTAACCCATTTCTATTAATCTAAGTGTTTCATGTGGTCTTATCATACCATAGAGAGGCTCTGGACCTCTTCTCTCAAGCCTCTACATCTTGAATCTCCTCTAATACATCTCCCAGAATCCTCCTTGTCTCCTAGTCCCACCTATCTTGCTTTCCTATTTGCCAACAGTGCTTTATTCATTAACTAATAAGAGAAACATATTTACAGAATGACATCTCCCATCAGACTATCTTGATCTTCATTTGCCAAAATTGAACTTCAAATAGATCTTAGGTAGCTTGCTCATTAAGTGGTCAGATCAGAATTCAGCCAGGATCTATACAATTTTTACCTTCTATTTTATACCTAATGTCTATGTAATACAATTGCTCTATTCTATGGCTGTGAAGGTGTGGATAAAAATTAAATATATTAAAATTACAACTACTGTTATGAGTTGCTCTCTATTATGCATGGAGGTCATAAGATATGTGGATTGAATTAGATAATGTTAAAAATTCAACACTGCAATTCTTTGGTTCAGTTGAATTGTATTAGAACTTGAATTACAGATAAGCTGCACTAAATAATCCTAACCCCTGACTTCCCTCCCAAATCTTTCAGTAGAGTTTGTTTGAGAATGGGTGATGCATGTGCATGGGGGAAAATAGCCTTCAGCTACTTTCAGTTATTAACTACTTAAATATGATTATTTTCCCTTCACAGTAGTGAGGTTGAGCTCAGGCCTCACATAGTGATGCGGGCCTTGCATATTTAAGTGTTCCTTTTAAGCTTTTAAGATCAGTGTAGAAGACTTAGGTTCAAATGGCTCAACCATTTACAAGATTTAATTATCCTAAAACTCAGATCTAACTAGAAACCAAGTTGAATAAGTTATTCTATACATTTTAAGCTGCATTTACAAATTTATTGCACCCAATTTTCTCATGTGCAAAATTCCTGTTAAGGAAAGCTGAAAAATATAGTAAGTAGAATTTTTTTTTTGAGTGCTTTATAAATTCAGTAGACTAAGGGGCTGGAACTGTGGCTTGGAGACAGAGAGGAGGTAGCAAAGTAAGGACCTATATTCAACTCCCTGTACCCAAAGGGAAAAAGTCTATAAATTTTCAGGATTGTAATTGTAGTGACCAGGTCTTGTTAACATTTAAAACCTTTACAAATATGACTAAATGTGATTATTCATTTAGAATTAATATTACTAACCACTGTTGACTTTTCTTAAGTATGACATGTACTCAGAATTAACTAAATCATGTCATTACAACTGTTACAAGACTTATTCCTAACATTAGAATTCAAAATTCAATCTGGAAAAGTCTCATTTGTTCACCTGGGGCTGGAGAAGGAAGCATCACCTTGGAACAGGACTCAGGATCCAGAGGTCATTCGCAATGTCTAAGACAGAAGTCCTCCTGTGGCTGCAACCCCTTTGAGGGTCATCTATCAGATAGTCTGCATATCAGATAGTTACATTCTGTTTTATTATTTCAGCCCTCAATTTAATTATTTCTAGAACACTTTTTGGGTGTTCTAGAGCTGTTCCGTGTGTTAAGTTGTTAGTATAAGATCTAACTTTTTTTTTTAATGTAGGCACTTAGTACTATGAACTTTCCTCTTAGAACTTACTGCTTTCATTGTGTCCCATAAGTTTGGACAGGTGGTGCATTCATTTTCATGCTAATTTATGTCTTGAGCCATTGTCATTCAGTAGAGAGTGGTTTGGTTTCCATGAGTTTATAAGATTTCTGTTGTTTCTGCTGTTGTTGCTATCCAGCTTTATTCCATGGTGGCTAGGTGGGATGCAGGGAGTTATTTCACTTCTCCTGTATTTGCTGAGGTTGGTCCATATCCAAGTACGTGGTCAGTTTTTGATAAAGTCCCATGAGGAATATAAGAAGGTATATTCTTTTATGTTTGTATGAAATGTTCTATAAATATCTATTAGTACATTTTTTAAGTACTTTAGATGCCCTTGGGTTTGGTGCTAAGAATTGCAGTGTCCTCTTGGTGGATATTTTTCTTTGATGAGTATGTAGTGTCCTTTACTATCTTTTCTGATTAGTTTTGGTTGGAAGGCTATTTTGTCAGATATTAAAATGGCTATGCCAGTTTGTTTCTTAGATTTCTTGGGATATCTTTTCTAACCCTTTATCCTAATGTGATGGCTGTCATTGATGTTAAGGTGTGTTTCACATCCATTCTGTTAGTCTGTGTATTTAATTAGGGAATTGAGATGATACTGACAAATTTCAATGACCAATGATTGTTGATTCATGTTATTTTGTTGTTGATGATGGTGGTGGTGGTGGTTGTGGCGGTGTGTACCTCCTTCCTTTTTTTTTTTTTTTTTTTTTTTCTGGTCTTGGATTATTGTTTCCCTGTGTTTTCTTTGATATAGTTAACCTCTTTAGATTGGAGTTTACCTCCTAGCACCTTGTGGGCTGGATTTGTAAATATGTATTGGTTAACTTTGGCTTTATTGTGGAATGTCATATTGTCTCCATTTATGGTGAATGAAAGTTTTGCTGGGTATAGCAGTTTGGGCTGGCATTTGTGATCCCTTAGAGTCTGCAGCACATCTGCACAGGCCCTTCTGGCTTTTAGGCTCTTCATTGAGAAGTCAAGTGTAATTCTAGTAGGTCTGCCTTTATATGCTACTTGGTCTTTTTTCCTTGCAGTTTCCAATATTCTTTCTCTGTTCTGTACATTTAATGTTTTGATTATTATGTGTCAAGGGGACTTTTTTTCCCCCTGATCCAGTCTATTTTGTGTTCTGTATGCTTTTTTATACTTTGATAGGCTCCTTTTTTAGGTTAGGAAATTTTTTCTTCTATCATTTTGTTGAAAATATTTTCTGTGCCTTTGATCTGTATTTCTTCTCCTCCCTCTAATCCTATTATTCTTAGATTTGGTCTTTTCATAGTGTCCCAGATTTCCTAGATGTTTGCCAGGGTCTTTAGATTTAACATCTTCTTTCTATCATGTCTTCAGTGTCTGAGATTCTCTTTCCCATCTCTTGTATTCTGTTGGTGAAGCTTGCTTCTGTGGCTGTTGTTCAAGTTCCTGTAGTTTTCATTTCCAGATTTCCCTCAGTTTAGGTTTCCTTTATTGATTCTGTTTCTACTTTCAGGTCTTGGATGGTTTAATTTATTTATTTTTTTCTTCAACTGTTTGTGTTTTCATAGATTTCTTTAAGGGATTTATCCTGTTCCTCTTTAAGGAACTCTATCATATTCATAAAGGCTGTTTCAAAGTCTTTTTCTTGTGCTTCAGCTGTGTTGGCATATTCAAGGCCCACTGTGGGAGGGTTACTGGGCTCTAGTGGAGACACAATTGTCTTGGCTGTTATTGTGTTTTTACACTGGCATCTAGGCATCTGGGTTTAGGAAGACCGTAATTCTAGGTGCTGATACCTGGTCTGGTCTTTGTTGGGTGGGTGTTTTTTGTTCCTTGTTTTTGTTGTTGCTGTTCTCTCTCTCTCTCTCTCTCTCTCTCTCTCTCTCTCTCTCTCTCTCTCTCTCTCTCCCTCCCTCCCTCCCTCCCTCCCTCCCCCCCTCTCCTTTTTTGGAAGAATGTGGCAGCTGTATGTTGCCTGTAGGAAAATCTTCAGGATGTTCCACCAGAATCTGCTTAGTCAGTCTCATCGATGGAAGCAGAGAGTGAGGTGTGGCCTTAGGGAAAAGTCAAAGGCAGAGCTGGGGGTAAGCCTGGGGTTTGGACTTGGAGGAGCAGAGGGAGAGGTAAAGAACTGCAATCAGTCTACCTGTTTTACTGTCCTGTGGGTTCCCAGGGGGGGTCTGCTGGAGTGGGGGGGCAGGAGAGGCAGTGAGTTGGGGAAGGGAGTTTAGGAGGGGAAGATCTGTGGGATCCATCAGAGATGAGGTGTCGGTGTTCTGCTCCAGAGCTGGGGGGGTGAAACTTGGGCTCTGGACCTGGAGGAATGGAAGAAATGAATGCAGGTCTGCAGGTCGCCTACCTTCTTCCCGGACAGGCAGTGTCCATGCAATTGAGGGCTGCTCCCCTGGCTGGAGTTTTGAGTTAATGTGATGTGGAATGGGCACGGGAAAGGGAACTTCCACCGCTGAGAGGTGGTCATTGTCCATGAGCCTTAGTTCTTCTTCTATAAACGGAGAAGAAGGCAGACAGCATCGTCCCGCACAGGATTGCCAAGCTTTGCGCCTTGGCTCTTAGAAGGGAAAAGACAGCATTTATTCAAATATTAGCAATCATTTGGGTCAGAGGACTTTTAAAGGCTGTTACTATAAGGCTTTCCTGGCTAACGCCCCTCAAATGTACTTTCCCTCTCCCCCTCTCCCTCCCTCCCCTCTGCCAAAGCTTTGCTAGGAATGAAGGAACCCTAAGGTGATTCCTGGACCAGATTTAAGACACATGCTGTCTGATACCCTTCATCTGTGGTTCCAGACCACAGTCACTCGGCCAGGGTCGGGGCAGGCGGAGCTGCGGAGGAGGGGCGGGCTCGAGCCTGGGACCCTGGCCTATTACAGTATGCAAGCTCCGGGTGTCCAGGGGGCGGGAGGGAAGAAGGGAGGGCGGCGCTCAGTCAAAGGAGCATTGATGCTGCGGTCTGCAGAGCTGGGCCAGAAGCCTACCAGCGCTGGGCTCCAGTGACCCCTCTACCTCCTGCTCCGGGCTTTGCAACCACCACACACCATGCACCCCCAAGGTCACGCTGCCTCCCCGCAGCTCCTGCTCGGCCTCTTTTTTGTGCTGCTGCTGCTGCTGCAATTGCCCGCGAAGTCCAACGCCTCAGAGAATCCCAAGGTGAAGCAAAAAGCGCTCATCCGACAGAGGGAGGTGGTAGACCTGGTGAGTCTGAGAAAGTCAGTCGGTCCTGATCTCACTGCTGGAGAGGACCCAGCCACGCGCACACAGGGAGGGCATCACAATAGCTGTTGGTGGTGCTGAGCCAACTAGGAGTACGCTGGGACGGGACAACATGTTACGCATCTTAACGGGTGTCCTCCCTTGTCTCAGTATGTGTGGGGAAGGGTCTGGGACATGCCTGAAATAGGGTCTTGAAGTTCCACGAGAGACCATAGTGAGGGGTCATCACAGAGATGCGACGTGGTTCAAGTGAGATGTCCCAAGTCCTTGTAGTCTCTCACCCAGGAATTTCTGGCTTCAGGGGAGACCACTCTTGAGAGACGTGGGGAACGTGTGACTGCAACTGGAGTACACTGAGCTAGCTGCTTGCCTGATTTCTAAAGCATGCCTGAGGACGACCCTAGGCCAGCTGATCTCCTGGGCCTGCGCCAAAGCTGTGCAACGTGTCCCTTGTTGCACTGGTGGCCACGTCTGCCTGGAGGAGAAGCTAACAACACCCACAAAGCATGTGTCCAGCTTTTTTTGTAACTTGAAGATTATGAGTCAGTTTGGGTCATCTTCCTGGGGAGGATGAACTGCAATTTACTCCTCAGAGCAGTACAGCTCATACCAGGAAAAGTTCAGGGGGTTTGGACCTGGAAGGGGGAATTGAAGGGCGCCAGTAGGAGCCCTCCCACGGACCCATTCCGTCTGTTCTGTTTAAAGACGATGCGCAGCGGTAGGGTCTTCAGTCTGTGGCTACCAGCCAGGAACAACGCAATTGAGCTAAAGGGAAAGAAAAGGCTTCCGGGAAAGCAAATATCCCAGGCTCTTTCTGAGGGGCTGATTTGTAGGAAAGTCCGTTTGCATAAAGCCCTTCCCTCTAAATTTTTAAAGTCAACAAACTCAGTAGAGGGCAGAGAGAGGCTTTAGGTCCCATGCAAGAGCCTGCCAATGACAGATCTTGTAGACCTTGCCACATAGTCCTTGCCCAGTTCTTAAACCAATCTCTATGCTTGTCAGGCATCGCAATGCACAAGATTTGGTGAGTTTTTTTTTTTTTTTTTTTTTTTTTTTTAAGATTTGAATTCCTTAAACTGACACTCTAGGTTACTGTGATAAAACAAGCTCCCCTGAGAGCCAATTCCAAGCTGGCTTCAAAAGCGCTGGGAACCCAAGATCTCCTGGGAAGCCAAGGGGGGGAGGGGGAGAAGGGAGAAGGGGAGTGGGAGGAAAAATGTATACAAAAAAAAAAAAAAAAAAAAAAAAAGAAGAAGAAGAAAAAAGAAAGAAAGGGGAGAAAAAAAAACCCATGCTGTTCACACAGCCGTGGTTGGTGTTTATTTGTTTGTTTGTTTGTTTTGTCGTCGTTGTTTTTCTGCTATGATATATAATTTTGCTCCACCAAAGCACACTGTGTTGGGGGGGGTACAGTTCTATTTTAAGTAAGTAAGTTGTTTAAAAAAATTGTGCCACTTGAATGTGACTCCTGTGCAGTTTGCACTTTATGAATGTGTAGTTAAGATATAGAAAACGGCTCCTTCCCCCATAAAGCTAACATTTTCCCCTCGATGGATTTTACAGTACTTGTGGTTTCCCACAGCTCTAACTGAACTTGGGAAAGCATACTGTGCAGTCTGGCTCAGGTGCATCCTGTAGATTGGATTTAGTCTTGGTGGCAGAAAAAAGTGACACAGTCATCAGGAAGGTTTCAACAGATAGCATAAAGTAACGTCTTTGTATAGGCGCTTTCAAAGCCTTCCTTTCAGCTACCACCGACTTCTGCCCCCTGGTGGCCAATAAAAATACGGGGAGCAGGGAGAGGGAATTAGAGCATCCATTCATGTTTACTCATTTTGTTGACTGACAATTCTAAATGTCTATTAGGACTAGGATTTTAAATTGGGGGGGAAACAAACTTTATGTAACATCTTATCTGAGAGGAATTTAAAAGGGTCAAATGTACTAGATAATTGTACATCAATAAGGGAAATGTTAAAGTAAAAATCTTAGTTGGAATGCATTTTATTTTGGAAAGTGTAATTAGTGGCAGGCACCCTTGTTTCCATGTGAACTAATTCAAAGGTAGGCACAAGAATTGGACAAAGGAAGCTCAACATGTTACTGTCAATACCCGTGACTGTAACATGAACAACGTGCTCTCTCTCTCTCTCTCTCTCTCTCTCTCTCTCTCTCTCTCTCTCTCGTGTGTGTGTGTGTGTGTGTGTGTGTGTGTGTGTGAATGGTCTCATGCATCCCAGGCTGGCCTCAAATTTGCTGTGTTGGGAGGAGCCTGAACTCTGGATCCTCTTGTGTCTGTTTCCCAAGCACAGGGATTACAGGCGTGTGCTACCAACCACTAACCTCAAGGCAAGAATGTTTATTACTATCCCCAGTTTATACATGATGAAACAGGCACTGAAATGCTGGGTAAATGGCCTGGTCTCACATATTGAAGAAAAGCTGAGGCTAGTATTAAAAGAAAATGGTTCTAGAATCTATGCATTTAAATTCTACAACATACACAAAACAAACAACACAGAGACTCCTAGCTCTTACAGATGGTCTGATAAATTACAACCTACCAGTTGAGAACAGGTAGCCACATGAAACTGGGCCACAGACTCCTCTTTAGGGAGGCAGAATGGACTGAAAAGGGCTACCCTCGTGTATCTCCCTTTATGTAAAAATAGAAGCAGATGATATGTGTACCCAACTTAAAGATAATTATTACAAGTTAATGCAATATAGGATAAATAAGATTTTATCTCACAGTTCTTTCCCTAGAAATTAAAGAGTCACTATAAAGAAGAAGTCTATATGGAGAAGTATTTTCCTTATATTAATATTTATAATAAAAACTAGAAATAAGCACCCAAAAACTGAGCATTAAAAGTTTTGTATGATTGTTTGTTTGTTTTGTTTTTAATTAATTTTAGGGGGCATTCTGCAGGGGGAGGGATGAATATGGAGGGACTGGGAAGTGAGTAGAATTGGGGCGTATGTTTTAAAATTCCCAAAGAATCAATAAAGAATTATGCTTTAAAAATTGTTTGTATGATGATGAGGCAGTGGTGGTATATATCTTTAATCCCAACACTCAGGAGCAGAGGGAAGTGGCTTGTTGTGAGTTCAGGGTCAGCCTGGTCTACAGATTAAGTTCCAGGATAGCCAGGGTTACACAGAGAAACCCTGTTTTGGGAAGAAAAAAAAAAAGTCTATGATAATGTAAAAGTGCATTTATGTAATATAAGTACGTGAAAAAATATGGGATGATAAGGAACAAACACAGACTACTGGAGGCTGGAGAGATGGCTCAGCGGTTAAAAAGCACTGGCTATTTGTCCAGAGGACCCAGGTTCAATTCCCAGCACTCACATGATAGTTTATAACTGCCTGCAACTCCAGTTCCAAGAGATCTGATCCCTCTTCTAGCCTTCACAAGCCAGGCATGCTACTGTACTCATAAAATAATAATAACAAAATTTAAATAAAAAATCAAATGTGTGTACCTTGGAATACAGCTAGTTAAAATTATATATAATCAGAAGTAGAAAGAAAAAGACATAAAAATACATTTTCTCTTTGATTTGTATAAGTTTGTGCAATAAACAAGTATGAAGAAGAGACAATGTTTTCTAAATAACTTTGAAGTGAGTTAGTAACTCATGGACAAGATGGTTTAAAGGGACTCTTGACAGATTCAAAATAAATGTAGCTGTGATCATTTGACCCTTACATGTTTATTTACATGTTCAGAAATGTATTTACTTCTTTACTAATTTTGTACTGGGTATCAAACCTAGAGCCTTGTGCAAGCTAGGCAAGAGCTCTATGGCTGAACTACACCCCTATACCCTCTATTGGTTTTGTATCTTAAGTAATGATGCTTTCCTGCCTTCTCCTTTGTACTATAGTATAATGGAATGTGCTTACAAGGACCAGCAGGAGTTCCTGGTCGCGATGGGAGCCCTGGGGCCAATGGCATCCCTGGCACTCCAGGCATTCCAGGACGGGATGGATTCAAAGGAGAAAAGGGAGAGTGCCTAAGAGAAAGTTTTGAGGAGTCCTGGACCCCAAACTATAAGCAGTGCTCATGGAATTCACTGAATTATGGCATAGATCTTGGGAAAATTGCGGTAAGTTAAGTCCAAATTATATTACGGTTGAAGTAAAAATATAAGAGTTTTATAAGTCAGTGTCAACTTTATTTTTTGTTAAACCTAAAGGACTTTAGAAAAAGAGATGCAGAATAAAAATGTATGGTTTTCTTTACTTAAAAATAATGAAAAATTTGATAACATTTCATTTAATTTCATAAAAGTAATCTAAGACAGATTATTTATTTAAACAAATGCAAAAAGAAAGTATAGCATTTTTCCATTAGACTTTAACCAGCATTCTAATCTTATCATTAAGTAAATTTAAATTTAAATTAGTCTAACACATCCTGCTGTAGCTTCAGATGTAAAAGTGGAAGATAGAGGTAATCCCACCGATCCAGAATAAGACCACTACCACAGTTTAAAGCCACATTTGAAGCAAGCTTTAACTAAAAACTGACCAGGTAGATGGGCTCTGGCTGGTCCATACCCTCGTTCCTGGGAAATGACCCCAAATCATAGTTTGCAGTCACTTAAGAAAGAAAACCCATAATTCATTGCATTCCCCACCATGTGCAATAGGGAGCAAGCAAACATCCTGATGTACCTCCAGCCTGCGAACCTCCCCCCCACCACATGTGATCAAGCACATCCCATGAGGATGGATCAAGCTAACTTGTTCAGGGGAGTGAAAACATGTGACTCGTTATCCCCCATAAACCATAGCCACCAGCATTTCAGGAACTGTCTGTCCTTGGGCAACAGAGTGCAGATCAGAGGCATTTTTGTTTCATGGATCTCTAAGGCATAGTAATTAAAACTTAAAACGTAGCTCTGACTCTCACAATAGTTGAAGAAATTACCACATGACTGGGATCCATGTTATGGGAAGTCCCTTTGTCCTTATTCCCAAACTCAGCTTAAAGGTGCTTAGGTTAAGGGGATTGAAATTGATGTCTAGTGATTTAAAATAATCACTACGGCGATTCTGTGACATGGTAAGGTTGAAGAGAGGTACTAATTTATGGGTATAAAAATAAAACCTTAGGGGGCAGATTATTACTCTGTCTTTTTAGCAGAACAGTAGCATTAGTTTCTCCTCTAGAGCTAGCCGGCTACAGATTTGGGGTCGGCATAAGTCTCATCCTGTAGCGCTGCCTTTAACCAAGCAGGAAGTAGTTGGATGCGCCCTAACATTTGTGCCTCTATTGCCCCAGTGGGGCCTTTGTTACCCTAGTTCATGGGGTTCACAGCTGGGTAAGACCCTTGATTACTTTTCTCCGTGGCAGCATGCATCGAGCCTTCCAGCATTATGAGAGCTAGCCAGTAGGGATAAAGTTTCCAGGTCAGTGCCAGCTCAATTAGCCATGAATATCATCAGAAATAGGGGATGTTATTCATCTGTAAAGGAAAATGAAATTATGAGACCCACAGGTAAATGGGTGATGTCGAAAATGCTCATTCTCATGAGGCCCCCCAGATGCAGCATGATAAATACTGCATGCTCCCTCTCATGTACGGATGCTTTTTTTTTTTTTTTTTTTTTTTTTGTCTTTTTCTGTTGTTGGTTTTTCAAGACAGGGCTCTCTGTGGCTTTGGAGGCTATCCTGGAACTAGCTCTTGTAAACCAGGCTGGCCTTGAACTCAGAGATCCATCTGCCTCTGCCTCCCAAGTGTTGAGATTTAGGGTGTGTGCCAACACCACCCGGCCTGGATGTTAGCTTTGAATCGTTAGATTAGCATATTTAAATTAGGGCATATTCATAGAAGTTATAAAATTAGTAAGGAGTCACGTGACTCGGTGGAAATGGGATAGAACGCAGGCATTATGAAGGAGGAAAAGGGAATAATGTGATAGGAAGGGTTAAATGAGGAGGGGGATAGGAGGGCAGGAGAAGGGAAGGCGCGTGAGAGAGGGTGACCAACACTGAAGACCTTTGAAAATAGCCATATGGAATCGACTACTGGAGAAGCTTCCTAAGATGCATACATATGCATGTATAAAAGAGTTTAAATGGTGTTTCCTTAGTCCAATGCCAGATATGGGGACCTCTTTTGGAGTTGTTGGTCAGTCTCCCCCAAGTTTCAGACTGTGACCGTTACTCTGGGTTAGCCTCCGTGACTTGATGGTCGAAACATCTTTTTAACTGGAATGAAAAATGTTCCGCTGTTTTCCCCCATGGCAGGAGTGTACGTTTACGAAGATGCGATCCAACAGTGCCCTGCGAGTCCTGTTCAGCGGTTCACTTCGGCTAAAATGCAGAAACGCGTGCTGTCAGCGCTGGTACTTTACGTTTAATGGAGCTGAATGTTCAGGACCTCTTCCCATCGAAGCCATCATCTATCTGGATCAAGGGAGCCCTGAATTAAATTCAACCATCAATATCCATCGCACTTCTTCTGGTATGTTTAACAGTGGTACTGCTCAGGTCTGCCTGGGTGGATTCTTGCTCTCCACCATCATGTTGGGTAATTAGCCTGTTATAAGTAGACCTCTAGAAGGTTATAAGGTATGTGACTCTCCAGCCTGGCCTGCAATTCACAATCGTGCACAGATCTTTTTCAAAGGGAACAGATGTGTCCCAAAGCTGAAAGTCAATGACTAGTTAGAAATGGCAAAACAGGCAGTGACCCCATATAGCAGTTGCTTCGGTTCTCAGCCTTGGGTACACAATGGGCTCACCTAGGAAGCTTGAGAAATACCTGCCATGGAGCCTCTCCTCCCAGAAGATGGAGTTCATGGGGATTTGGTTTGTTAACATCATCACTTCACCACTTGACTCACTGTGAGGCTGATACGGGACCTGCATTTATCTGCGGGGCCTTCTACAAGGATGGACACATTTCTAGGCCATAAGGGGTCAAGACCTTGGGGAAATTTAAATATTGCTGACGTACATTTTCAGCTAGCATGGTTCTGAGACTACCATACAGCTTAAATGGAAATGCAGCTGGTTCTTCCCACCAGCCTGGTCCCACAGCCATGTCACCCCAGATGAACACCCAGAGACTTATATTAATTTTAATACTGTTGACTGGTGACTTGGCCTTCTTATTGGCTAGCTTTGTTAATTATTAACTCATTTCTATGAATCTATGTATTGCCAGGAAGCTGTGGCTTACCTAATAATGCCCCAGCATCATGACACTGGCTGCTCTGTCTGCCTGCCTTTCCCAGAATCCTCCTCCTCTCTTAGCCCCGCCTATCCTTCCTGCCTGGCCACCAGACACAGTACTTTATTCATTAACCAATAAGAGAAACATATGTACAGAAGACATGCCCATCATGCGGGTTCACTGCTTACCTCTCTAAGGAGGTCTGAACTAGTGTCAGGTCCCCATATTCTGATGACAGTTGACTTACAGATGACATTGCCAGTGATGGCAGATTGCTTCAGTTCTGTATTCTTGGGCTCAGTTGGACTGCACTAAACGAAGGTGGAAACCTGACAGGGCACGTGAGCACATTAATCTGAACCAGCAGGGAAGCTAAACCCCCTGCACTGCTTGTATACCACCGTTCATTTTCTCTAAGAATCTGCCAACATCTTCAGGCGGTGGTGGCGCACGCCTTTAGTCCCAGCACTAGGGAGGCAGAGGCAGGTGGATATCTTTGAGTTCAAAACTAGTATGGTCTACAAGAGCTAGTTCCAGGACAGCCTCCAAAGCCACAGAGAGACCCTGTCTCAAAAAAACAAAAAACAAAACAAACAAACAAAAAAAAACCAACAACAACAAAAAATCTGCCAACATCAATTTCCTTTCTCACTCACACAGACATCAAAGGAAACACGTCTCTCTGCCTGTTTTAATGACCAACAGTGAAATCTTTCTTTTAGATGTCAGTGAAGAACTTTGGTTAGGTAGAATGCAAAATATATGTTAGTGGGTGAGAGCCCAAAGGACTTGTGAAGGATACAGCATCAGAACAAAAAGCAGGGTTCCTTTCTAATCATAGTTATTCTGTTAAAAGTCAATGAGATGGTTTCGCAGTAGAAGGTACTTACCCCCAGAGGCGGATGACCTGACTTTGATCCCTGAGATCCACATGGTGGAAGGAGAGGACCAACTCCTCTCATAAGTTACTAAGTTGTCCTCTGATCTCCACATGTGCACTGTGGCAGAGGTGTACCCACACCTCTATACACACACTAGATAGATAGATTAGATAGATGATAGACAGATTAGATAGATAGTAGATAGATGGTAGATAAATATATACATATGTAGATGCAATTTTTTGTAAAAAAAAAAAAAAGAATCTATTAAATAGATTCATACATTGAATGATTGGTATAAGAGTCAGCTAAGATTTCTTTTAATCATATAAATGTCCTATCTTGATTTGAATATCATCAGATCTACAGAGCAGTGGTGAAAAGGGATTTCTTTCAAAAGACTTGTACATCTTGATCCAGACTCTGGATCAAGTCTTGACAGTTGTATGGTTTGGTAAATTGTTCTTTGGTTTTAAACCATCTCTGTAACTAAACACACTCTGGTTTGAGAACACTGCCCACTGAGGTAACAGCATAGTAATTACGGACCTGCCTTCAAAAATATTAATGTACTAACTAAGAGAAAGAGACCTTTATTATGAAATCCTTAGCAGGTACGAGAATTTTTAATTAGCTTTACATTAGACAGGATTATAATCTGATTTTCTACAGGAAGTGCAAAATGCCTTTTGTTCTAAAGAGTGTTGTGATCGTCTGTGTTTTGCAGTGGAAGGACTCTGCGAAGGAATCGGTGCTGGGCTGGTAGATGTGGCCATCTGGGTTGGCACTTGTTCTGATTACCCTAAAGGAGACGCTTCAACAGGTTGGAACTCGGTGTCTCGCATCATTATTGAAGAGCTACCAAAATAAATCCTCCGTGGCTTTCATTCCCTACCTCTCGTGTTTTTAAAACCAAACCTTTGAATGGTTCATTTGAATGACATTCAAGAAATCACTTTATGTACCCAACTGAATGAAAATGCAGTTAAATATGTTTACAGACCTAAGTGTGATCTCACACTTTAAAATCCTGCATTATCCATTTTGCTTTCACTAAGGTTTCCTCCATTGGTTACTTCTTTTCATGATTCTGTTCTCTGAACCCATATATCAGAATGGCATTATGATCTTTAGAATTTCTTATTTCCTACTGTCAACATTTTTAAAAATATAAAAATTACATCATTGTACAAGCTGTAAATGTTTAAAACTATTTTGTATCTGTTAAATAAAATGTTTAAAACAGCTTTAGTATTCTTTTTCTGTTTGTTTGTTTTGTGTAGCCCTGGCTGTCATGAAAGTCCGCACTGTATGTAGATCAGGCTGGCTTAATCTCACAGATCTGCCTGCCTATACCTCCCAAGTGTTGACCACACCTGACAACTTTAGTATTTTCAAACTGAAGAGTTTGACAATGATGTTGAATTTCTAGTACTTGATATTGTAAGGATGGAAAAATTTAGACTAATTTTCCCTAGACTCTGCCCTCTAGCAGTGAGTAGGCAAAAGGTCATTCTTGACTGTTTACAGACAGCACCTGTGAGTGAATGAGAACAGGAAATGAGCTGTGCCACACTACCCAGAAGCCCTAGCGAAAGCAGACTTCCTGGGCTAAGCGCGGCCTTGGATAGTTCAAATTGATTGGTCCACACTGGATGCTATGAGATGATTGGTTTGTGAACCCTGTACTCAGGGTTCCCAGTCCCCAACCCTCGTGGAGTATGGCTGTGGACCCCAGTGCACTGGAATATAAAAGACCTCATGCTTTTGCATCAAGACCGCTTCTCGTGAGTGATTTGGGGGGACCGCCTTTCCTGAGTCAGGGCATGAGGGTTCACACCCTCGGCGGGTCTTTCAATATATGGGAATTTACACAGAAATCTAAACTTCAAGTAGTCATTTAACAATTTATGAAATTTTAGTATATATTTTGTGCTAAACATGGTCCAGTATCTTGAGGGATATGAAGGCATAAGGGTGCTCGTATGTCAGGAATATAATAGTATTTTAGGAATGGGTAAAAACCCATGGCTCTGGCCTCGATCTGCTTACCATTTGGTAGGAAGAATAAAACACACACAAAAATGAGAGTGTTGAAGGGGGTGGCAGAGCTCAAAGTGGAAGGAATCCTTGGTGGCCTTTTTGGGGTTTCAAGAACTTGGCATAACAGTCCCCACCCACAATGGACTGAGCCCTCCCCCATCAATCACTAATTAAGAGAATTCCCTACAGACTTTCCTATAGCCAGATCATACAGAGACGTTTTCTCAGTTGAGGCTCCTTCCTCCCTGATGACTCCAGCCTGTGCCAAGTTGACATAAAACCAGCCAGTACACTAGTTCAAGGTCAGCCTAGACTGTATAGCAAGACATCTGGGAAGGAAAAAGAAAAACAAAATGTAAACATTAAAACTGTGAGATGAGATCACATTACAAAGAAAGAAAATAGATAAATGCAAGAGAGAGAATTCCAGATTGAGGAAATTTAGTGAATAGAAGTACAGGAATCCAAAGCAGAGAACATCATCAAGCCAAGGAGAGAATTCAGTGAAGGGAAGGATGTTCAACAGCACGAACTACTACTATACGAATGTGGACAAGGTAAATAACCAGTGGTGGTACAGCAGCAGGCACCTCTCCTCGCCTAGCTTCACATTCATTGAAATCACATTGATCTGAAACAAACTGACCAGCACTAGAAACTGGACTTCCTTATCTCTTGCCCTTCCACTGTGGGGTAATTTATTTGGAACTCCTATCACAGCCCATGCGTTCATCTTCCTCATTTGTATAAAGCTCCTAGAAATAAACAAAATGCCAAAACCCAACAGGAGTGAAGAACATACTGTGCACAGATTCATGTGACTTAGAGGGAAGGAGACAACCAACTCCCACAAAGATACAGGAGCCCAGGACTACTGACATTTCTGATTGTTTATTGTTGTGAAGTATGTTGGTATGTGTTGAAGGGACTCTAGCCAGCCTGAATGTGGCAAGCATGGCTCTGGCAGGCCTTGCCCCTCTCTCCCATTCCCTCTTCCTTGCTAAAAACCTATTAGATTGCATTCCTAAAGCTGCCACCAAGGTCTATTCCCTTATTGGCCACTTCCTCTTTCTGAGGCTGACCACCAAAGTCCGGCTATCAAAAGTGGTCCATCTAATTAACATAATTAACATGCCCAATTAAAATTAAACACCTCATCTGAACACAGAGTTTCCCATTTTATCTTCATAAAGTTCAGTTTTCCTATGGGCCACATCTGTCTCCTCTCTATCCAGAGGCAGTCCTTTATTCCTTCTGCACAAATACCCCTTCCCCTCTCCCTTGTTCCCTTCCCCTTCTCCCTCATTCTCTATGTCTCTTATTCCCCCCTTTGTTGTCCCCCTAGGGCAAATAAATCTCCTTTGTGCTGTGTCTTGGGGTATAGAGTTGATGTGATGTATTCTCCAAGAAGAAAGACAGGGTGTTGGAAAGACATTCTTGCCATCATTAAGAAAACAGTTTAACAACACACCACTTGTAGCCATCCTTGGGTTTTAGAGACAATATGTAACATTTGGATGGGATCCTTTTGTTGTTTGTTTTTCTAGACAGGGTTTCTCTGTATAAATTGTCATGGCTGTCCTGGAACTCACTCTGTAGATTAGGCTGACCTTGAACTCACAGAGACCGGCCTGCCTCTGCCTCTCAAGTGCTGGAATTAAAGGGGTGTGCCACTACCACCCAGCTTAAATGTGATACTTTAAGCCATATTTACAGTCACCCCCTATGGCTGCCATGGTTAAACCCCCTATGGTTACAGGGAAACAAGGCCCAAAGGCTCTGATGCAAATCCAGGCAGCAGCAGAAACAACACTCTATTTGGTACTTTTTGTCCAGCATATCCCATAGCTGTGAGTGCCTACGTCAACTTTAGCAAACACCAGTGGGCAAGTCAAAGACAGGCTTTTTGGATTTTTTATCCTTTTAGTGAAGATGGCTATTATCTATAAGAACACCTGGCTCACTATAGTCAGTGGGCCCTGGTAGAAACATCAGGTGACCCACGTGGCCTGAGTTCCCCACCATGATCTCAGTGTGGACACATCTCCTAGGCTAGCTGTCTGTAGGAAAGCAACCACAGAAGGGTTGAGAGACACAGCATGGGAAGTTGTTGGGGGCACAGGCCAAAGGTCTTTGCACCCACAGAATCCCAGGAAACCAGGAATGTTAAGTATACAGGATTGTCTTTCCAAGCCGAGAGATGAAAAACCTGTTCTTCCATCTAGAAAGCTGAGAATTGGAAATGATTAACAACAGCCTGGTGAACTGCTTTCTCTGTTGGTCCAGGCCATACGGAGCTCCTACCCGCAAGCCTGGAGGTGGTTAGTAATCCAAATGACCCTGATAGCCAGAGGCTCCCCAACACTCACCCAACCAGGACCAGAGGAGGCTGACAGCCCAAAAGGACCTCTTATGACTGAGACCAAGCTAGCCCTCTAGGCCTTTAAGCTAGCACAGGTAGCCCATCCCTGGAGCCCGTCTTCTTGGAGGAAATGACATGTACCCTAAGTTGAGTTTCAATGTAATTATGCTTCCTTGTGCACTGGGGATTGCACTACACCAGGCAACTTTTTCATGGCTCATACACAGGGAACAAACCACCTGTCTTTAGACCGCCCAACCCCCAAGTCTGATTCAGGTTGACAAAGTCAGTATGCACCCGGTTTTCATTCTTAACTCTTTGTGGGGTTTGCATCTTGGTGTGACACCTGCAGGGACCCCCACAGAAGTCCAGAGGTACAAATAGGATGCATGAGCGGGTGGCCCAGGCAGCTTCAATTACAGCATTGGTTCCCTGGCCCTGAAGGCTGTCTGGTGACTCCCCCTGCCTGCAGGCAGTTTGAGGCACACCAGGACCCTAGAACCCCGGTTCACATTTGACAGCCTTGCTTCTCCGGCTTGCTGGGTCCTTCCGTCTAAAATCGTCATGATTGGTGAGCCTTTCCACCTTCCCCACCTTAGGCTATTCCCATGAGTGGGGATTCCTCTAGTCTCTGGATCGTGGTTTCTCTCCTTTTGGACTCGTTAAGTCCTGGTATCAGGCAACCATGGTTCTCTTGGGCTCTGAGACCTTGGCTCCTACCCCTTGCATGATGACCCACTGGGTGACCTGTGCCAGTCTTGGACCCTCTGGCCCTTTGGCCCCTGCCACTTGTTTAACAAATCACCTAGGCGGCTTGTGCCTTTTTCGATACATCCTTGTTTGATAAAAGCCACTGGATCTTGTCCTGCTTCCTAGCACTTTGTAATCACTTCATGCTGGGACCCTTCCCACCTGCTTCACCTTCAATAGATCTGCTCTCGTCCACCTGCAACAAATCTGTTTTTCCATTTGCTAATGGCTTTGCCTTCCAATCAATACCAACCATTGGGTCTCTAGTGGGTTTACCCACTTCTGCCCATTCCCCTGGATGTGAGGCTTCCTTTCTCGAACAGCCCTTCCCTTGCTTTCTGGCTTTTCTAGAAGTCCTGGTACTAGGTGACTGTCTCTCTCGGGCTCAGAGCCTTTGGCCCCCACCCTTTCAGTGACGACTCACTGGGTGGCCTGTGCCTATCTTGAAATTGACCTTAATTTCTGGGAGGCTAGGAATTGCAAACCCTTGGGTCTTAATTCTCTACCCCACTCATGGGACTCACCCACTGACCATTCCTAATCAGCAGGTCTACCAGCTGCTGGCCATACAGCAGGAGGCACAAGACTACCAAACATGTCCAGGAGGTGCTGTGGTGATGGGAAAGGATCAGGTGCTTTAAGCCCTAGGGAGTCTTGGATTCACCAAGAACTGCATTTTGCCAGGTCCAAGTGGCACCTGATGGTTCCACATAGCCTGGATAGTGGAGTGAAACAGCCAGCTACTTGAGGATATGGTTAGCACCTCAGCCTTCCCACGTCCCCCGATGATGAGCTACATTCTTCAGATCAGCAGGAAGTAGTTTTGAGAACACAGTGTCCTCATCCTGCCTCACCTTTTTATAATAAATAAAAAGGGAGGAATGTTAGTACTCAGGCACCTGCGCTGGCCTGTCCTTGGAGTTCTGATAGGATACACCCTCAGCTGCAGCCACAAGGAGCACCACCTGTGCACATTCACTATGTTCCCTTTTAAAAGGGCCCTGCCCACCTCCCATTCTTATTTCTCTTCCTCTTTTCCCCTTTCCTCTCCCCTGATGCTCCTGTCTCAGGAGGCTGTCTGAGGGCACTGTGAGGCCATGCGCATGTTGCTGCTTTAATCCCAGCACTCAGGAGGCAGAGGCAGGCAGATCTCTGCCAGTTCCAGGCCAGGTTGGTCTGCAGTGAGGTCTACAACAGCCAGGACTACCCAGAGAAACCCTGTCTTGGGGAGGAAAAATTCTAGTTTCCTTAGCTAGGAGATATGAATTTTAAATTGTTTTGCATTGTTTTAATATTCCTGTAGGTTATAGTTCTTTGTAAACTACTAAAATCAATGTATTTTATTCTTTAAATAAGAATTTTAGATATCCAAATAAAGTATAGATACAGTTAGAACTATGTGTAAAATAGCAATTTGAAATTTCCAAGAATTCTTGGGAATCTGATTCATTGTCCCTGAATCTCAAAGAGTTAAATGCCAGGAATTTAGAAAACTTGATGAAAAACTTGCTTTTCGTTACAGTATGTCACAATTTAAAAATGCATCATTGTTGCTAAAAAAAAAATTTAAAAAGTTAAAAATATTATAGCAAACACAATTTGTAAATATAAATTATCTTCAATTTTATTTTAGAACAGTGCCATTTCCAAATATAAAAAAAAGGCTTATTTTCAAAGAACCCTTTATATATAGCGTTGATCACCATTGTTTTATTTACAAAAAAATAGATGTTAGTATAGCAGCACTGACAGCTGTTTATGAAAAAAATTATATTTAATACAGCATCCTTTTGGGGGTAGGAGATCTACAATGACATACATATCAAATCAATAATGGTCATGAATGTAATTTGTATTTCAACATGAATTTGAGTACCAACGTAGACCAATCATTTATTTGATATATCTTAAAATTAAGGAAAAGAGGAATGTTTACTTCTACTCAGCTTTTCAACAAACTCACAGAAAACATCCCCTCTCTGAAATGTGACCTGGCTCTTCTGATGAGAGATTTGTAACCACACACACTAAAGACTTTACCGGATCCCAGAAGTTCAGACTTATACACTCCAACTACATACTGCGTGTTTATGGCTAAAAAGACGGTTGGGGCTCAGAATCACACTTTAAATAATTAAGCAATGGAACGACAAAAGCTGCTTGATATTTCTCAGAACAAAAGCATCTCCATTCAAAATGGGCTGTATTTGGATAATGCCTCAGTCATGAGCCCCCCAAAGTTAATTTACCCCCGGAATACAGTCACTCTTGGAAGAAGCCAGCTCCTTTCTATTGCACATGAGTCAGCTTTAAAGCCAATCCAGGCCAGAGAGTTCATAAAAAAAAAAAAAAAAAAAAAAAAAAAAAAAAAAACATTCATCCAGTTGTTTACATATATTGCAAATTATCTTCTACATGAAGAAGGAAATGGAAGATCTTGTACATACATCCTTACACTGGCTATCCGTCTCAACACTATGATGATGGCATCCCCTGCAGACAGAGGCAGCCAAGCCCCCCCACACACTGAGAAGCAGCACAGGGCAGAAAACAAGGTTTTCCATCTTCTGACTTCGAATACAGACAAATGCTGGGCATAAGCTGTGCTGCTCTGTGGTCTCTGAGTTCTGTGTTTCAAACACAAAGGAGTCTGCAGCCACCTCAAGCAGATGCACTGGAATCTTCTTTTAGCTTACTTTTCTCTAAGGCCATACAACAAGTGTGAGACATTTTCATAAATCACAAAGGTGATACAGCAGGCTGGAGTCACTCTAATTAAATTGGGAGCGATGCCTTTGTAAAATCCACCGATACCTTCTTTCCTGTAGGAGGGATAGACACACACTCATTTCCTAAGTAGCCAGTGTGAATATAGCAACAGTTCATGAACATGGGGCACAGAATAGTAGTCAAGCCCCATCCTACCTATACATGGGTGTGTGCAAACCATGGGTACAATGCCCTGAGGGGACATAACTTAAGTGTCACTCACAGAACTCTTATAAACTGACGAAGGAAGAGGATAAGGGCCCCTCAGAGGAGAACAGACAGCGCTGTTTCTTTAGGGAGTCACTCATGCTTTAAAAGGATGACGGTGCAGTAGGGTTAGCAGGTCTAAAAGCAGGACCCTGCAGGGAGGCTGAGGCAGGAGGGACCCTTACAAGTCTGAAGTCTCTGAAGCAGGGCCTGGACTAGACACTAAGAACCACAACAGGGAGCCAGTGAGAGCTATATTCCAGAGACTCTCAAACAAGCAAGCAGCAGTATGTTCATGATCTCTAACTGATATCAGTGATACAAAGTCTAAATATAGCTCACATATTTCCTTAATGCCTAGAATAGGGAACAAGGCCCGTAAGTTAACATGTAGATTATCAAACAGTATTTCTTAAAGTGAATTAATTAAATGCAGTTCTTCAGGCCTTTTAGAATCAAAGAGAAATGCAAGGGAAGTCGACCTATAGTAATGCAATTCTTCTTGTGTGTAATCTCTTCTATACCTCTGAGACAAGTATTTGTAAAAGTTACAGGGCCAGTAGCAGATACAGGTCATTTCAAAGACATTTAACTAACTTTCTGACTTCTTACATCCAGTGTCAATCAAATATTTTGAGACTTAAATCCTGTGTCGATAATGTTTCCAAGCACTGACATCTGTTTCATTGTTTTTATTACAACTTTGTGAGGCCCAACAGTCTAATTTTACAAATGAATGAACCAGGCTTCAGAGACACTGTAAAGTGTCTTTTTCACAGCAAACTGGTCAGTCCTAAAAACCTATGGAGTGGACAGTCTAGGCATGTTCTCACCTCCACGTCTTTATGATTACATCCATCACGCCACCGTAAGACACATGCTGGTCCTGAAGACGGGCTCGCACAACTTGATACGGGTATGTTGCTGCTACAGCAAATATTTTGGATAGCGCTGCAACAGAGATATATTCTGCTGTGCTCTAAAATGGGAACATGAATAGGATTTCTTTAAAAGCAAAAATTACAGACAAGAAATCATTAAAAAAAAAAAATAAAAAAATAAAAACACTATTCCCTCTTTAACATAAGGTCTATTTAATATGGGGTCCTATTTAACATTTGTGTCATTAGCTTATAAAATACATGGCTGTTAGTTAAATTAGTGACAGAGTATTTATTATGATAGCAATATTGTTAGAGTAAACATATTTAAAAATCTTCTACTGATTTAGTGCCCATCAAGGTAAATGATGTTACTTTAAGAGAATTCTCTTACCAGCTGGGCTTCTGGTAATCTGTTGATGTGTTTGTTATACTTCAACTTCAGCAGCTCATATGCCATGAACTGCAGGGCGCCGTGTGATGTTCCAAACAGCCCAGGGACAAATCCCTAAAGGGGACGATGAAGAAAAGCAAAATTAACATCTTGCAATGGAAGATATACTTAAAATATTTTCATATTATTTCATGTTAATTCACCTATACTTCGCACAAATGTTTTTATATATGGTATTAAAAACAGTACTGCAGGGGCTGCAAAGATGGCCCAGTGATTAAGAGCACTATCTGCTCTTCCAGGGGGACCTGGGTTCAATTCCCAGCACCCACATGGCAGCTCACACCTGTCTGTAACTCCAGTTCCAGGGGATCTGGCACACAGATATCAGGCAGTTATAAAGCACATAGGATAAATAATTAATTAAAAGCTAATGGTATTCCAGAGGACTGTGCACAGATGGAAAAGGGGAAGGCTAGTGGAGCACCAGCACACCTTCCCGTTTTCTGAGCATGGAGCTGCTCTCCTCTGCCTGGCCACCACCACAGGCTGACACCTCGGAAACCGTAAGCCATGTTAGACAAATGATGAACAGGCAAGAGGCTGAACTTTCCTTTTGGTTGTTAAGGTCATGTTATATTTACAGTCAGTAAAAATAGATCCTTTTAATATTGTCAGACAACTTCTAAGGCCTACAGTAAGGAAAGCAGGACCTACTGGCACGACTCACTGAAAGACACCAGACATCATGTCAGGTGTCAACATCATGAAGACAGGGGATGCCCAGCATAAAGAACAATTTCAATATTATAAACAAGACTTCCATTCCATTCACTTATCAGTTATTTCTTTCTTAAGTTTGTTTTCTTTTTAGGACCAAAGACAGGTCATTCAGAAGTAAAACAAAAGAGCTGATGTCCAGGACAAGGAGCAGCCAGTATGGTGACACATGCCTCTAATCTCAGTACCCTATGGTCTTTGATAGGAAGGTTGAGAGTTGAAGGCCAGACAGAGTTGTATGACAAGACTGCCTCAAAAGCAAAACAAAAGCCAGTATTAATTGAAATGTCTAGTTACTCATGATAGTTTGTTACCTTGTACAATCCACGTACACCTTCGTATTTGTATATTTTCACAAGTGCATCAAACATTCCTTTATACTGTCTCTGTGAGGGGTTAATAACACCACCATACTGTAACATAAGTCGAGTTTTCGTCACCCATAATGGGTTTGTAATGCAGAGAGTCATGGCTCCTAAAATCATATTTAAAGAATAATTACCATACAGATACTGTTTCACTTAATCCAAATTAAGAATAGTTATCAGAAAAGAACATGCTTTTCAACAGTGTACATATAGCATAAAGAAGGCCCACTTGATCAAGAATAGGGGTAGAGCCATGTGTGGGGGCACACACTTTAATCCCAGAACTCAGGAGGCAGAGGCAGAGGCAGGCAGTTCTCTATGAGCTGGAAGGCAAGCCTGGTCTACATGTCGAGTTCCGGGACAACCAGGCTACACAGCAAATCCCTGTCTTCAAAACAAAACAAAACAACAAAACCAGTGGGGCATAAGCAGGACATTAAGTTTGATTAAGAAACGAGGGCAATGGTATTCCAGTCACTTGAGCATAGGTACCCTAACAGAATGGGACACGAAGTGGCTGTATCTAGGACAGTGAGATGTGGTCTCTGAGGTATCCCCAAGAGTCAAAAGGAAAAAGTCCCACCTGTGGTCAGTGAGAGGTTGATTAAATGATAAAATGTTGAACAATTTCTCGCAAGGACAGAGGTAAGCTATATACTCCTAAACAAAGTGCCTAGGATAGAGGCTAGACCTTAGGAGATGCACATAAAATAGAGGGCTGTGGTTTAAGGAAGAACCAGGAATGTGGCTCCTCAAACTGCATGTGTACATGTATGTCCCATGATCCACTATGATCTTCCTTACACCCTTCCACAGGCCCTCCCATAAGTCTAATAAGGCACATTTTAATAGTCTTTATGGAAGTGATCTTTTGTCGTCAGGAAGATCATTTCAAGGCTAGCCTGGGCATCTGGGCATATTATATGTGGGTCTACTTAAAAAAAAAAAAAAAAAAAAAAAAAAAAAAAAAACCACACCTGGTTACATTTCTCATTTGTTGAATGCCCTGAGGAATTCTGTTGTTTTTAGTAAGTAAACATATTCTATCATCACTTAGGTCTCTGCATGTGGCTAAATATTTGAAAATAGATGATTCTTGCTTTAAAAGAACACCTGGAAGCCAGGTATTGGTGGTACACACCTTCAATCCCAGCACTCATGAGGGAGAGGCAGGCGGATCTCTGTGAGTCCAACCTGGTCTACAGATCGAGTTTCAGGACAAGCTCCAAAGCAATACAGACAAATCCAGTCTTGAAAAACCAAAAAAAAAAAAAAAAAAAAAAAAAAAACACGGTAGACATGCAAAGACACAAGAAACAAAACAGGCTTTATGGACACTCATGGTTCACACTGGCTTTTCTTGATGGCATGCATACAGAAGCAAGAGAACAAAGTTACTGAGCTACATAATTTTAAAACTATATATCCTAATCATCTCTAAAGAATAATTTTCAAAAAATTACTTTATGTCTATGAGTGTCCTGCTTGCATGCATGTATGTACGCCATGTGTGTCTAGGGCTCTCAAGGGCCAGAAGAGGGTGGTGGAGGCCTGGGACTTGAGCTACAGATGGCTCAGACACCGTGTGGGTGCTGGGAATCTACTGCTGGTCCTCTGAAGATCAGCCAATGCTCTTGAGCATCAAGCCACCTCTCTAGCCACACCCAAACCATCTTAGCCTAGAGATTTCTAATTTTACAAGATTAGATGAACACATTTAAACCTCTAATGTTTAATGAATTGGAGGAGAGACAAAAATCAAGACCTGAGGCAGGTCACAAGCCCAACCAGGACCACAGAGGGAGACCTTCAGTGAATACACTCAAGCACCCCACCCCCACCCAAGGAACTGAGTTTGGAAGGTGATAATATTCATTGTCTTACCAGCTTCAGCAGCTGAAACCAGGTATTCTAGTGGCTCTAACTGTTCAGCTCTTCCCTCTGTCTTATATGACTTGATGGCATTGTAACTAGAAATGTTAAAAACAAGGGTTTAATTTGAACACGAGTCTTAAAGCAACATCCATTTTAAAGCATCATCTCCAAAGAAAGTCAACACATGATGAAACCACAAATTAAGACCTCACTGAAGAATGGATATGCCAGAACTGGCTCGCCTGGATGGATGGATGGATGGATGGATGGATGTGTGTGTGTGTGTGTGTGTGTGTGTGTGTATTCTAATGACACCTTCAGCCATTAACAGCAGCACAAGAAAACTGGGAGAAGATGCTGTAATGACATGAACATTGAGAAGAAGGCAAAGGGGCACCAGACAAACACATGCTCAGCAGTGGCAACCAGCTTTCTGATGGACAAAGAGGTAAACATGCACTGGATTCTTTAACAGACTAACAAGGATGCTGGCACACTGACAGCTCCAGTGTGCTAAGGCATTCAGAAACTGACCGGGAGGCAGGGTTTCACCATGGAAAGAGATACACACGGAGGGAAGTGATAGCAAGATGCCACCACAGGGAAAAAGAAGCCACAGAGTGGCAGGCTGGGATTTAGGTCATTTGGCAGAGAACAGTCACTATTTCTGAGCAGGAAAGATAAACCAGGCCCAGTTTTCATTACTGGTTTTGTTATTAGAAAGTTTTATTATGTGTGAGTGGCACCCAGGCTAGCCTCAAACTCACTATGAGTTAGGGATGACCTTGAACAAAACCACTGATAAATAACTGACTTATTTACTTCTTTCTAGTCTATTTTTTGCCATTAAAAGTGCATCAGAGTACTGATACGCTCACAGCACCCCAGAATTCCTGAAGAGATTGTACAGTGTCACTGTAAGTTAGAGTCTGCGGTTTTTCCAATGGCTTTAACCAAAACAAAGAGTTCTCAATGTATCAATATCCTGTTGCTCAGGGACCAGCTAAACACTTCAACTTTCCTGAATACATTTCAAAGAAACATTTTTACTTTTTTGGTTTTTCATGACTGGGTTTCTCTGTGTAGCCATGGCTGTCCTAGAATTTGCTCTATAGACCAGGCTGGCCTCCAACCCAGAGATCTGTCTGCCTGCCTCTGCCTCCTGGGTGCTGGAACATAAAGGGGTATAACACCATCCTTGGCCCACAGCAACGGTTTCTGTGAGGATGTTTCTCCATCTCATCTGTTACCTTTGTCCTGTTAGCAACTCTGACCCAGGTTAAGTATCTGTGACAACAGTTGGCAGATGGGAACCTAACAAGCTACTTTGCTTTCCAATCCTCTCAACTAAAAAAACAGGGTTAAATGACTCATCAGTCACACATGTGAACAAAGGTAACCAGCAGAAAACATTAAAGCAAAGATTCCTTTAAATTTAAGAGCCCCCCCCCATCTACTCACAAGAAAAAGTAGAGTCCCCAGGATAAACCTGCACCCCACACATTTGGGGTTACTCCTTGATAAAGTCCTCGCAGTCCTTCAACTTTCCAAATGGTAGTCAAGCAATGTAGAATTCCTTTATATTTTGGTCTTACTTCCAGTCCATCGCTCACTGCATTGAGGAACCACAGATGAGAAGAGATGCTGACCCGTGAATCACACACAGATGCAGCACACAATCAGATCCGGAAAGGAGAATCTCAGGGGCAAGAAACTGTTTTTAGGATATTTAGTATTTTAAAATTAGTACTTCTATCAGCTTACCAAAGTACCCAGCCAGAGCACACTAAAACCTCTAATATTTCAGGAACTAGCCCTTAAGTAACCCCAAACACCTGTATGCTTGTTACAGATACTCAAGGCTACAACTCAAACACTACTCGGGGCCAGAGAGATTGTCCAGTGGTTTGGAGCACGCATTTGCTCTTTCAAGGACCTGGGTATGATTCTTAGCTCCCACATGGTGGCTCCCAACTATCCTTAACTCCAGTTCCAGGGATCTGACACACTCTTGTGAACTCTGTGGACACCAAGCATGCAAATGGTACATACACATAAAATAAAAATGAAAAATAAATAAACCAGGCAGCTGCTTCAGTTCTATCAAAAATGCTAGCAAGATCTGAGGGGGAGCAGGGAAGGGACCCGGAGGTAGGGCAGCAAACTCCTGCACAATCTCTCTTTACCATTACACACGCAGTCTGAATATAAAGTACTAAAGCACCCCATTGAACATTATTTTCTAAAACTGCACTCGTTTCCTCCATCCTTTCCCAACGGCACTACTATCGACAGAGATGTTCTTGGGGACCAGTCACCACTCCTTTCTTTCCTTTTAAACAATCTTTTTTTTTTTTTTTAAAGTCTTTTTTTTTTTAAATCTCTTTATTCTACCACATAAAGCTCTCTTGGACTGGTCTACATCTCAGAAAACACTGCCATCTGTTTTTAAGCAGTGTAGTATTTCGAAATTTAGAGTGCCACTATGCTGGGATAAATTTGGCATTTATTTTTATTCCGCTCCTATAGGAATTGAAAAATACATTTGAAATAGGATAACTTGGGGAATAAGTGGTGCTTAACAGGACTGTGGGAAGATTGTAGGAAACAACATGGAACAATGCAGTATCAACTATCGCTTTATTGTTTAAGAAGTCACTAAACCCTAGAAGTAGAATGCCAAGTCCAAGATTCTTTATTCACGTTCAAGCCACGGTAAGCTGGGCTCACAGGGTTACTGTGGAAAGTGATTAAGGGCAAGGCAGTTTTAAAGTGAAATAGATGAATTCAAATCTCATATTGGTATTTATAATCCTGTGACTTGGGTAATTTACTCAACCTCTACCATCATTATCTTCATAAAGGGGATAGTAAGTTCCTAGTAAACGTTCAATATAAGTTATTTGTCAATAGTCATAACTTTTATTGTGACTATTTATAGATGCATATAAAAATCCATGGAATTATATGTCTTTGTGGTATCTTTTCTAGGATATACTCCACAAGTACCACCTATTTTCCAACACAGAATGCCTTCTTGTCTCCTCTCTGGCAGCCAAAATATTAATCCTGTTAAGAACTTTAATAGCCACGGAAACTTTACAGGCACATACAAGACACCTATGTTTTTAAGATATTTACCTTTACTATTTTAAATTACCTATATGTGTCCCTATGTGGGCATGTGCATGTGTGTGCAGGTGCTAGAGGCCAGAGGTGTTGGGTTTCCCTGAAGCTGGAGATATATAGACAACTATGGGCCACCTGCTCAAAGTGGGTGCTGGGAACCCTACATGGGTCCCGTGGGCGTATTAAGCCATCTCTCCGGCCCCGATTTTCTTTATAGTCTATTTGTACTCTTATTTGGATTTACTATGCTTTGCTCTTGATTTTATGATGTGTAGAATTCTTAATGTAACTTAGGCTAACTAGATTTTTGGTTTCCTGACAGCAACAAACTGTGGATGATTCTGTAGCTCGGATACCGTTGTTCAAACAGTAAGGCACACATGCATCAAGGAAATTGTATAAATTAGAGCTTTACTAAAACCATTTCTAAAGATTTGAATTTCAAGGAAAAATTAGGCTTGTAGTAATTGAAATAGATAACAGAAAATGGTCTCTAAATAGTTACCAAATATCACCTTTTTAATTCCGCTTGGTGTCGATTCCTAAAACGTGCTACGTGCTAAACTTGCATATACTTAATTCGCACTTGAATACAGTTATTTAGGGTGTGTGGCAGCAGCTCCTCTTTCCCTTCACTGGTCAATGCATATTATAAATACTCCAAACTAAAGAAACCTCCAAGCATAGTTTTGTCCCAAACTTAGTCCTTACTCTTTCCCGAGGACTATGCTCGCTCTGGCTCAAGAGCTTGCACTTTCGTTTGTTGATTTTACACAGCCAAACACGTGGCTGCCCTAAGACTTCAAAATACCTACCCCCGAGAGAGTGAACGACTGGTACGCATGAGGGTCGAATGTGACAGTCCCTTCTCTCAAACCTCACACACTTTCCCCATCCCTTAGGGACACGGGACTCGGGGAAGGTACATTAACCGGGCTCCCTTCCTAAGGCAGGACACACAGCATCACCTTCGGGGCCCTCCTCCTTGCAGTCCGGAGGCTGGGGAGAGCGATGTCTCCTTGGGTGCTAACGAGGGGAGCCTCCCGGAGCGTGGGGGAGCGCTTACCGGCGAAGCGGATCTTCACGAGGTCCAGCGGGTGCAGCGCCAGGTTGGACAAGACCCCGCCGCTCACACCAGCCACCAGGTTCTCATACCGGACGTGGCGGAACACCGCGTTCCACGCCGCCGACCCGGCCGCCGACTGGCCCTGGCCTGTCATGGGCTCGGGGCTCGGCGACACTACGGCGCTTAGTTCCGCCGACGTGGGGCGAGATGTAGTGGCCGCCACCGTGGCGACAGTCGCGGGGGCCCGGGGCCAGGAATGAAGGACGCGAGCCCACTTCCGGGACCCGAGCCTAGGACACCCACGAGCGGAGCCGCTAGACGGAGCACGAGAAGAGTCGAGTCGAGCCGAGCCGAGCCGAGTCCTCCCGGCCACGCCCACAGCTGCCGCGCAGCCGCCCTTTGACGTCACGCGAGCGCCAGCTAAAGGACGGCCGGCCTACATCCCCGGACCGAGCGGTTACGGAATGCCGCGGGGTCCAGCTGAGCCAAGCGGGATGCTGCGCACGGCGGAGCCACGTGACAGGAAGAAGCCCGCGGAAGGCGGAAGTCATGTGTCTGCGAGGAGGCCGGCTTAAGGCGCACCCGGCAAGAGGCTCGTGGAGTCCGGGACTCGGAGCCGCCAAGATGAAGGTGAAGATGCTCAGCCGGAACCCGGACAACTATGTCCGCGAAACCAAGCTGGACATACAAAGAGGTGAGACGAGCCGAGACCGAGGAGGGAGCGCCTTCCCGGACTTGTGCGTCTGGGCGGCTTGGAGCAGTAAGGGGGCGGGAGATCAGCGCTCCGGTCTTGTTTTTTTTTTTTTTTTTCCTTTTTTTTTCATTTTTAGCCGAGGCGGCTCGGTCCACCCAGGGCTGTTGGGGAACTGAGTTGCGGACGACGTCTCTTGAAGTCCTTTTAAAGGAGTTTCCTCTCGTGGGACGTAGTTAGGTCTGGGAGGAGTGCTTCAACTCGAGTCGGTCGTTCTCCGTGTTCAGGTTTGGAGCGGTGGAAAAGTGGAGTTTTTAGCCAAACTCATGAGTTAAGGGTTCAAGATCTTTTAAAACTGGGCTGCCGCTTTGGGCACTCGACTGCTTTCATAGCGTCTTCTGGGGGGGGGAGGAAAAACGGTGAGAGGTTTAAAGTGGTCACTTGGCGCACAAACTGCTCTTAAGAGTTTGAGGAGAGAGTGGTTAGAATGAAGTTGGTGAGTTTTATTTATCTTTCTCGATCTGTGCCCTGTTAGCATGCCGACCCTTTCTTTTTCTTTCTTTCTTTCTTTCTTTTTGAAAGCTTCAAAAGTACTAAAATCTTTTGGACATACATATACAGACAGTACAAAGTGGCTTTACACAAACCAAGCATATGAAGTCCGGAGGGAAAAGTGGCATGGGAAGAAATTTAGAGGAGAGAATAGGGCATAGATTTGAGCAAATCACATTTTATGCATGAATGAAATGTTCAAATACATAATGAATCAGTTCTTGATAACGTAAATGACAGGAGACCAATCTTGTGTGAACAGATCGTTTTTTAACTTAAGAGAATAATAGACGTAACTAAAGCATTTGGTTATTCTTTATTAGAGTGAATGACAGTAAGTGGTAGAAGAGGGAGCTGTAAAACTCTTAGTTACTGGAGGATATCAATGTGTGTTTGTGCATGGCTAAAGTATAGTATATGGTCTGTGCATGTCAGCTTTGCTAAAATATGATGTATGATCTGTGTGTGTTTGAGCTTTGCTAAAATGTAATATGATCTGTATGTGTGTGAGCTTTGCTAAAGTGTGGTATATAGTCTGTGTGTGTGAGTGAGCTTTGCTAAGATGTGGTATATAGTCTGTATGTGTGTGTGAGCTTTGCTAAGATGTGGTATATGGTCTCTGCTCCCAAGTTAACAAGGTATTTCTTAAATGCAAATTAGATGTGTCACTTGGATTTGATATTATCTTGACTCTTCAAACCTCACTGGTTCTTACTTCATCACTTTAACCAGTCAGTGTGTTGCTGGTAAGTATGTTATGTTTCCCTTTCAGTATGGGTGCATTTTAGCCTTTCTCTTTGAGCTGTACCTATGGGAAGCTTTTTATTAACCATAATCTTTACACACTTACACCCTGAACATGCCCTCCTGCACTTCAGTGCCCTATTCTGTGTTTCCAGTACATAGTTTTAGATTTGTCAGTGCTTATCACGGTCTCATGATTGTATATATTTTGATTAGCGGGCTTTCCTATTAGCTTGCAAAGAGGGGGAAAGTCATGTTACTAAATACACTGTGTGTAGACAGTGAATCACATAAATAACTGCTTTGTAAATGAATGAATGAATGAATGAATGAATGAGTGGATGTCAGCCTGGGCACAGAATCTTATTCTAGGAGATATAGCTATTTTTGTTATTAGCACCCCCCCTTTAACAATAACTCCCTATTTTTACTTTATAATGGAAATGTTAATAGCAAAATGTGAAAATAGAAGTTTTTGGAGCACTATAAATATAAAACAAATACATTCGTTATTTTTGGAGCTATAATTATTATCTCAAAATGTCCTTAATAAAAATCAATAATGTTATGGTTTCTTAGTGCTATTTCCTTGTAAGTTTTATGCAGTATTTAAATACTGGGATAAGTACTGGTGAGCCTTTATTTTTAAACTATCCATAATTCTGATGTTCCTGGTTCATGTGTAGGAACACCTTATATGTGTGTGGTTTTTATGGGAGTTTTAAGCGGGTGTCCTCAGTGCTTATGATGTATGTTGCATGTCACATGCTACATTAGTGTTAGTTGTCTGTCCTTGGCTGGATGAATGAAGTTGGAGGTGGAGGCAGTGATTGTGATTAGAAGACTTAAAGTGAATATTTTAAAGGGGTGTGTGAGGTTTTGCTAGATTAAGTGAAAGTTAAGTCTTCATAGAAGGGATTATCATAAGGGAAGCGCAAGGTAGTTTTAAATTACAGTGAGTAAAACCTGGTAGAGCTGAACTTCTGGAAGGATTTGAAGTTGGTGAGACGGTGAGGTCAAGTTTTAGAAGGCCAGCAGGGTGTTGGAACTTAATTCTGTACTTTTAAAAGTAGGTGTTTAGAGTATCGTTACAATTTGGGGAAAACAGAATATCAGTGTGTATTTCCTGTCTTAAACTGAACCAGGTTTGGTGGTTCAAGCCTTTAATCTCAGCATTGAGACTGAGTTCAAGGCCAGCCAGGTCTACAGAGTGAGTTCCAAGAGAGCTGGACCTACACAGAGAAACCCTGTCTCAACAAACAAACAAACAGAGGCAGAGGCAGGCAGATTTTTGAGTTCCAGGCCAGCCAGGGCTACATAGTGAGACCCTGTTTATAAACAAACGAGATCCTCTAATTTTTATTTATGTAATAGTTAGTGAACTTAGAACCCCATTTCAGCCAAATGCTAAGTATCCTGAGAAGAGTAGATTTGACAGGGAGGACTTACTTCCACCTTTTGAATATTGTAGTATATTACAGTGTATATTATTGTGGGATAGTATATTATAGTCTGTATTAGTGTAGGGTAGTTATATTACAGTCTGTGTTAGTGTGGTGTGGTATATTACAGTCTATATTAGTGCGGGGCAGAGACTGTGTGGGGTAGTATATTACACCCTGTAGTGTTGTGGGATAGTATATTACAGTCTATTATTGTGGGGTATTATATTACCGTCTGTGTTAGTGTGGGATAGTTTGTAGGGTGAAGGGGAAGACTATAAAAGTGTTTGTTCTTGAAGAAGTAGCTTGACTTTATGGGAGAGTTCTTGGAAGAACCTAACTGTGAATTAAGTATTTTGGAAATTGTTAAACTTTTCTCTAGTTATGGATATTAATTAACTTTTGAAAGAAAATAAAGCATATAATCTGTTCCAACTCCCTTTCCCCTGTTTATCTGATTTTTGAAACAGGGTCTTACTGTAACCCTGGCTAGCCTGGAATTTTCCATATAGACCATATTGGCCTCGAACTCTTAGAGATCCTCCTGCCTCTGCCTCTGCAGCGCTGGGATTAAAGATATGCAGCACCATGTTCAACTTTTCCAAATCCATTTTAATGATAAATAAGGAAATTGCTTTTTAAAAAAGTTGTGCTGTGAGAGATTCTTTTGAAAATACATGTTTGGAACTGTTTAAACTATTTAAAAACTCTTATACTGAATATGTTGTTATAATGACAGATTTTGTCTACATGAAATCACTTGGAAACAGCACAATCTACGTTCTTTTAACTATTAAATATCAGTTAGCTGTAAGAATCAGAATAGATAGAAAATTTCAAAACATACTTCAGAAGTAACTTTCAAAAATCTGGTGGATATGACCAAAAAGTAAATATACCTAAATGAATAGTGCCAGCTCTAGACATCTTCTTTTTGGATCTGCTTTTTTTTTTTTTTCTTTTGAAGCACGTTCCTCATTTTGTCACTATGCCAGTGAGAGGTTCACAGGGACTGCAGTCACATGTATCACCACAGAAGAATGTGCCAGCAAGCACTCGTTCAGCAGCTCATTAACATGGCATTGTATAGAGGTCAGTGCTGTGTGATTGTGTTTGCACCATTGACATGGTACTGTGTGGAAATCAGTGCCATTAAAACCACATGTTGAAACCCAACTGGAGGCCTTGAGTTTTTCTCTCAAGAGGCTTAATTGGAAGCAAAATTTTAATGAATACAAAGCAGCATGTTTAATATATAAATGTACTAAATATACCTGTCCAAAAATCGTGTTACAATGAGACCCACAATCTAAAGGTTTGGCGACTACTGCAGGGAGCCTTAAAATTTTCTTTAGTTATGGGAATGGCATGTGCTTGATTAATCTGGTAACAGTGCTGCTGCCAGATCAAGTAGGGATGGCAGTGCAGTAGTCTGGAAGTAAGGTAATAAGGGCTAGGTGTATGGGAAAGGGAAGAATGACTGTTTCAGAGAGGATGGGTTTTGGGATTGGAGACTGGAAGATGGAATTCAAGAGTGACCAAGGTTTGAGCTTTATTACATGTTGGCTATGATATACTGTTAATCAGAAAGTAAAGATAGCAGGGGGAAGTCAAAGGGAAAAATGTATTTACTGTTACGTGTTGAATTTGATTAGACACGGACTTAAAATGAGACAGTATGTTTGGCAGACTGGTTAAGAACATGGCTTATAGATAGGTAGGTTACTCGGTGTCTTTGTGCCTCAGTTTAACCAACTATAGAGTGGATGATAGTAGTAGAATATAACCTGTAGGGTTATACTATGGAGAGTATTTGATTTAGATGAGGTGTTTGGAATACTGTCTGGAACTCAGTTAACTCTTATTTCAGTACTTTTCAAGTAAGT